TTGCGCAAAACAAATCTGAGCTGTCTACACTGGCCCTTTTGCCCAAAAGCTTTGCGCAAAAGGACTTTTGCCCGAACGGGAGCAGCATAGTATTTCCGCAAGAAGCACTGATTTCTTACATGAGATCGTCAGTGTTCTTGCGGAAATTCAAGTGGCCAGTGTAGACAGCTGGCAAGTAAAAACTTGCCAGTCTAGACACAGCCTCCCTGTGTTAGACCCACTTCCCCAATCAATGTGGCTATCACTATGCTAGAACGTAAGAACAGTCCTGTAGAACTCCTTGCCAGAGGATGTTGTGAAGACCAAGACTTTAACAGGGTTCAAAAAAAAAACTAGATAAAAGCATGATGGATAGGTGTGGAGAAAGTGAATGAGGAAAAGTTATGTACTTGTTCCCATAACATGAGAACTAGGGGTCACCAAATGAAATTAATTGGTAGCAGGTTTAAAATAAACAAATGGAAGGTTTTTTTCCACGCAGCACAGTCAACCTGTGGAACTCCTTGCCAGAGGATGTTGTGAAGACCAGGACATCAAGGGTGTGTCTAAACTACATGGCTCCATTGATGGAGCTATGTAGATGAGGCTGATCGGCAGAGGGAAATGAAGCCGCGATTTAAATAATCGCGGCTTCATTTAAATTTAAATGGCTGCCACGCTCTGCCGACTAGCTGATGATCAGCTGTTTGTCGGCAGATCGGGGCAGTCTAGATGCTTCTCCGTCAACATTATTTAAATTGTGGCTTCATTTCCCTCTGCCGATCAGCCTCATCTACATAGCTCCATCAATGGAGCCATGTAGTTTAGACACACCCTTGATGTCCTGGTCTTCACAACATCCTCTGGCAAGGAGTTCCACAGGTTGACTGTGCTGCGTGGAAAAAAACCGACTAGCTGATGATCAGCTGTTTGTCGGCAGATCGGGGCAGTCTAGATGCTTCTCCGTCAACATTATTTAAATTGTGGCTTCATTTCCCTCTGCCGATCAGCCTCATCTACATAGCTCCATCAATGGAGCCATGTAGTTTAGACACACCCTTGATGTCCTGGTCTTCACAACATCCTCTGGCAAGGAGTTCCACAGGTTGACTGTGCTGCGTGGAAAAAAACCTTCCATTTGTTTATTTTAAACCTGCTACCAATTAATTTCATTTGGTGACCCCTAGTTCTTATATTATGGGAACAAATAAATAACTTTTCCTTATTCACTTTTTCCTTGCCAGTCATGATTTTACAGACCTCTGTCATCTCCCCTCTTAGGCTATGTCTACACTGCAAATTTTTGCGGCAGAAAATATGCTAATGAGGGACTCTTTAGCATGAGTCGCAATGTCATTAGCATATTTTCTGCCGATTCTTTTTGCGCCCGGGGTTTTTGCACAAAAAGAAGCAGTGTAGCCGCTTTCGTTTTGCGCAAAAACCCAGCTGACCCCGGCTCTGTGTCTCGGTGCCCCTGGAAACGCTGCTCCGGCATTTCCAACGGGCAGCACCATGGGAACCTGGGGTCAGCTGGAGTTGAGCTGACACTGGACTCCGTGTAATGCTGCCCATGTGAAGCACCACCCCAGTGCCTCAAAGAGACAGCGCATTTGAACCTGGGGATCAGCTGCAGTGCCCAGCTGATCCCTGGCTCCATGTTGTGCTGCCCCTTTGAAGCGCCAGAGTGGCACTTCAAAGGGGCAGTGCAGCATTAACGCCTGTGATTAATGTGTTAACAAAATTAAAGCGTTCATCCTTCCCTGCGTTAATTGCAGGCGTTAATACACATCAATTGACAGCCCTAATAGCTATCTATCTATCTATCTATCTATCTATCTATCTATCTATCTATCTATCTATCTATCTATCTATCTCCCATAATAAAGCTCAGATTCCAGGGTGTCAACCCAGTGTTCCCTGTGATGGAGCTTAAATGCCCCACAAAAGGCAAGAGAGCATTTTTGGGCCATTGGATGCTCAGTCAACCCACCTTGTGACACTTGGGGCTGGAGTCAGGCTATGGAGAAGGGGGCTGCCTGGAGCAGAATGGAGCAGGGCTCATAGAGGTGGGGAAAGATCCTCATTTTTTGTTCTTGTTTTGGACTTTGGGTGCTCCCAAGGAGTAGATCTGTACGTGACCTGGCCACAGCGCTAACCTACTACAACCTGGAAGCTGTTGGTATGTTGGAAGCTGGGCAGAGCAGTGGAAGATCAACAGGGAAACGGAAGCTGATGGGCTGCTGCACGGCAGGGTTGTGCAAGGGTGCGCTCTGGGAAGAACAGGTTGTATTATGTCACCCCGCCCCAAAGAGAAGGGGCAAAGGATGGGATATGGCCGACAGTAAGAGCTCATGATGCTCGCTGCCACTCCGGTCTTGTTGCACTTGGGAGCCATCATGGTGGCACAGAATGCTCATCCCTTAATGCTGAATGCATAGTAATATTAATAGGTGGATTTCCCCTCTGGACAAATGCATCATGCTGATGCTAATGTTGCTAATGAAATGTACTTCTAGCTAGTGAGGTTCCTTTACCTTTATGCTCAATGCACTAGAAATGTAAATGGCGGTGTGTTTCTCTGAAATTAAATGGCGATTCTCTTATTTAACCGACTTCCTCATTACAGAGGCGATAACAGAGGCTGGACAGATGGCAGAACAAGGAGCAATGGTCTCAAGTTACAGTGGGGGAGGTCTAGGTTGGATATTAGGAAAAACGATTTCACTAGGAGGGTGGTGAAGCACTGGGATGGGTTACTCAGGGAGGTGGTGGAATCTCCATCCCTAGACGTGTTTAAGTCTCGGCTTGACAAAGCCCTGGCTGGGTTGATTTAGTTGGGGCTGGTCCTGCTTTGGGCAGGGGGCTGGACTTTATGACTCCTGAGGTCTCTTCCAGTGCTAGGATTCTACGAACAGAGACAACTGTTGGCTGAGAGGTGAGACCTGCGCTAATCTGTGTTCTATGGGCACTGGAAACCAGGTGGGAGGAGGACAAATGCTTTAGTGAGTAGGACGAAGAGCAGCGCATCAAGAAAAAGCAGGCAGCTGGGGCCTGCAAAGTTCAAGGTGCGTGTTTGTGCCTGGCTTTGGTCCGGGCCCATCTTTAAAGTGTTCTGGGATCTTTGGGTAGATAGAGAATTGAGGGTTTGTTGAACTTTCCCCCCACCCACTCCCACTTGTGTGCTTTTGGGGTCTATTGGAACTGTAACAACGAGGCTTTCTCTGCTTTCTGTGTTTACTGTGGTTTCTATGGAAATGCTCAAAATAACTCTGACGGTCTCAACAGCTCTTTGTCTCCCCAAATCCTGAGGTAACCCCGACCCTCAACTTCCTCCTCAGCCCAGAGCCCTGCTGAAGTGCAGGAGGTGTTGTCATGACGCAGCGCTGTGGGAAAAGGTCCGATTGTTTTAAGGAGGAAAGGAAGCTCGCTAAAACGAGTCACGCCTTCGGAATAGCGAAGCCAGCCCCTCTTCCTTCGTACGGGGAAAGTCGTATACCACGACAAATGCCACGATGCAGAGTGGTTCTGCACCCACAGCCCTGAAGGTGCCACCCTCCGCAACCCCCGTTAACACCACAATTTGCTTGTATTGGTGGCTTTTGTGAGTGAGTGGGCGGATGGCTTTACTTAGGAAGGTGTGTGGGCAAGAAGGGGCCTGCCCCCCCAGTCAGTGGCAGCACAGCAGGGCTGGGGTGGGGGGAGTGTGCTCTTCCAACCCTGGGCCAGGGTGAGATGTTCCTACATGAAGAGGTCCCTTCTTGGCTGCTGCCTCTCTACCAGTTGGAGGCTGTGGGGCTGGCTGCTCTCTGCAGGTTTGCCCCAAGGCCACATGGTGAGGAAGGGACTAGGTCCCCCTGCCACAAGAATGGAGGGCGAGTGTTTCTTTCCTGCATTGTTCTGAGTCTAGGGAGGTGCTTGGGGGGAGGGTGGTGCCAGCTGCACCCCCATTTTACCTCCTCTTCCCAGGGCAGCAGCTCCGGCTGGGCTGTGGCTTCTCTTATTGCCTGGAGCCTCTGGCTGGAAGCTCTCTTCTGTTTTTTCCCCGAACATTCCTCCTACACCTCTGCCAATGCAACCAAGCTCAACCTGGACTGCGTCACCAAACCATTCTGCTCTCATTCAGATCCGTCACTCCTGCCTGTGACAGGACGCTTTCCCTTTAAGAGCAGGGGCATGTGGGAACACCCCTCCCCCCACCCCAGGCTATAAAATAAGAGTTACCGGAGAGGAGTCATTCTGGGACAGGCTCTTGTAAAGGGAAGACCAGCAGCCGGTATGTGTCATATCTGTCTGCAGAGAGGTATGCGTCATATTTGCTGCTTCCTCTTGTGGCCGATGAACTAGGATTTAGCCATTTATCCTTAAGTTTCTTGAGGGTGTTAAACTGTTGGCTTGAGTGGCTTACGTTTAAAATAATTAGACCCTTTCTGGTAACCGTAGGCTGTCGAACGTGTTGATCATAATGGTCCCTCTGACCTTCATCTATGAACCTGTGTGCACTTGCTGTAACTGAGTAACCATGGATATTGTTGAGTTTCCCTCCTTACTCTTTATTGCTCTACTCATGGGTCACAGCTAATGTTCAGCTGTAACTTCTATGGATCAGGGACTGTTCTCTTTATTGGCCGGGTGGTAAAAATAGCGTATAAAGCCCAGGCCGGCTGACAGGGAGGGAGGCAACTGCCACAGGGTCTGGCAATTCGAAAGGGCCTGTGACTTCTGCCCACCACCACTGCTACTGCGGCAGCGCTGTGCCCGGAGCTCCAGGACTTTTAAATTGCGGCCAGAGCACTATATGGCACGCTCCACCATGCTGAGGGGTAGCATGCCACAATCCAGGTGGCATTGAGGGCTGGTAGCCCTGGCTCCGCCCCTTCCACTTGAAGACCCGCCCCTTCCACCTGTGGCCCTGCCCCTTCCACCCGAGGCCCCGCCCTTTCCCAGAGCATGGAGCTGCCACTCCCCCCACCCTTGTCCAGGAGCCTGGTGAGGCTGTCGGCTCCCCTAATAGAGCCCTTTATGAGTCCAACTCTGGTTCCCCCTCTGCCACAGCTCTGGCAAGGCACCAACCCAGCCTCAGTCCAGTCCCTGCCCAGTATCAGGTTCTATGTGGATGTATCAGATGCATTCGCCTCCAGCATATGCAGGTAGCAATCGATTCTTGTGGTGGAACCAGAACTCTGTATTTGTTCCCCATTGTGACCAACTTGCTGAAAGCTGACCCCCGGAAGCATGTCACATGCTAGAAAAGCGTGAAAGACCAGGCAACAGATCTCTCGACAGAGGCTAGAGTCTTGCTCTCTTGTCAATGTAAACTGTCAATATTCCAGGGCCGTCTTCTCTCTAGCCTGCGCTCTGGCTTTCCCAGCCCAGTGTGGCTGGCCGATAGTGAGAAGGAGGTTTAATCGGAAAGGATTAAAAGGCATGGGAAGGACAGAATAGAGAAATCTTTCGGTGGATGAACTTTTCTTCCCATTCTCCAGCCACCTCTCTTCTATTTCTTTCCCTTCATCCTTATAGGGAAGCAGTTTGTCGCTAGTCCAGCTGGGCACGGCCTGTCTGCGTCCCTGCGAACAAGCCAGAAGAGAAAGAGGATCAGGAAGAGTCGCAGGAAAACAAAACTCAGTGAGGCCCTGTCAAATGCTGGGCACCCTTGTGTGGAGAACTGTGTACAGTCTGAGTGGCAGAGATGGACACGGGCCGGTATAGATCGCTAGATGGAGGGAGAAGTCCTGATGGGACTTGCAAATGAGAACAGATGGCAGAAAAGGATTCCTTAGAACTGGAAAGGTGATTTATTAGAGGAGACTTTTGTCAGGCAGTTCTGACGATAGTAAAACAGATCAGTCCCTGTGTATACACTTGCCCACAATGTAAAGGCAAGGGACAATGATAGGGGTGGGGAACTGAAGACCCAGCCCCCAGCTTCCTTGGACCCGGTCCCTGAGGCTTGGAGCTCACCCCAGCACTGGGGACCCTGCAGTGACAATCCAGTCCCCCTGCCACCCCAGCACGGGGCTGGAGCACACAAAATCTACTCTCCTGGAGCCCCTTCAGCTGCGGTGTGTGCGGGGAATGTGTGGAGTGTCTCTCTCCTTCTCAGTCGGGGGCCATGTCTGTGAGAGTTTGGGGGTTTTTTGAAACAAAAAAAGCCAACGAAAAGTCCTGTGGCACCTTATAGACTAACAGATTTATTGGAGCATCAGCTTTCGTGGGCAAAGACCCACTTCGTATAAATCTGTTAGTCTATAAGGTGCCACAGGACTTTTCGTTGGCTTTTTTTGTTTCTTTTTCTTTGTGCGGCCCCCAGCTGATTTTCTGTGAGTCCGTGACCCTCAGCCCAAAAAAGATTTCCTGCCCTGACATAGGAGAGGGTGGCCAATTTTGAATGCTCACTTAGGCTAGGTCTACGTGAAGTGAGAAATTTGATTTAAGATACGCTGCTCCAGCTACGAGAATGGAATCACCTAAAATCAAACTTTTCTGTTGTCCCCACTGTGGGAGGTCGATGGGAGAAACTCTCCCGTCAATTTCCCTTACTTCTTGTGACCCCTTGGAGTACTGGGGTTGACAGGGACACCATCCGAGTTTGATTTAACGGGTCCTTACTAGACCTGCTAAATTAAACCCCGGAAGATTGATCTCTGGAGCGTTGCTCTCCACAGAAGTATAGACAAGGCCTTAGAAGGAGGTAAACCTAAAATCAAGAATCCTTCACAGAGGATATATTTGCCCTATGGAGCTCAGAGCCTAAAGACAAAGTCAACTATGGCAGCTTGCTCTAAAGAGTCTAGACAATATTAAAGTCTGTAATAGTCAGAGCTGTAGACTTCGAGATTCAAATCCAAACCACAGGAGCAATTTACCCAGGGATGTGGTGGGTTCTCCATCATATGAAGTTTTTAAATTAAATCTGGATGTCTTTTCAAAGGAGACGCTCTCGTTCAGCCAGAAGTCATGGGCTTGGGGCCAACATTACCAGGTGAGGTTCTCTGGCCTGTGTTAAACAGGCGATCAGACTTGATCATCTTAATTAAGACTAAGATTATGACACAGAATTTGCAACTTCCATGAGCTCCAGGACATTTTCTGCACAGTGGGTCTGGAGCTCTGACCCAGCGTAGGGGGTACCCACAGCTCCCATCTTTCACAATGATGAGGCTGCTGTGGGTAGCAGGGGCTCCCCCCAGATGCAAGATTCTGCACCCCTATCTTCTCTTCCGCAGCAGGGCTTGGCTTAGCCCTATTGTACCAGTCGTTTTTAGTAAAAGCCAGGGACAAGGCGACATCTTGTTTACTGCACATGATCTTGTGCGTGACTTTAAGGTTAAGTTGTTGTCACTGTTATTTTTAGTTAATCAGAATGGTCCTTTCTGGCCTCTGCATCTGCACATCCATCTACCCAGCTCCGTCGTGAGCCCAGACAGAGTTAGGAATGAATTTGTCTTGACGTATGGTTTCCCCAAACCCTATCAGCGAGACGGCTGCTGGGCCCCGGGACACGACTCAGAAGCTCTCCCTGGACTTCCTGGGAGGGTTTGGACGTGTTGGAGCACAACGAATTTGGAGGCACAAGTCCCTGGGAGGAACAAAAGTGGTAGATGCTGGCATGATCCCCGCAAAGGGGTTCAGACAGGAGTCACAGCGCGCTGTAAGCAACCCCACAGGAATTATCTTGTAAAATGAGGGGAATTAAGTCTCCTCCTTCAGGGCCCCATCTCCTGCCAGGAC